TGGGTTTTAGGTTTGCGCTAGTTCGGTAGCACCAGGTTTGAAAAAATACTCCTGTGTGCCATTGTCAAAAACAACTAAGCACTGTATTTGAAGTTTGTTGGCATGGTCATCAACCCTCTAGTGTTTTTGACACCAATTGTGAGGATTCCTACAAAGGGGGGCATGACCATGGCCCATCGGAGGTGGCGAGTTTGACTCATATGACCAGCGGTCAACATTTGTTGTCGCCATTGAATGAGACTACATTTCTAGGGGTACCTTCCCCATTCTTTCCAGGGATCCTTCTTTTCAGGAAGCCATCAAAAACCCAGGGGAAACAGATCCGGCTTTTGACAAGAACGATGGTTAAAAAATGGGGAATCAACCCCTAGAACATTGGGTACATGCACATTGCCAATAGGAAACGGCGGTTGCTCACCAAAAGTCCCATACGGGTGAACGATCTGAACTGGATGTCAGATGCTACTTTGAATCCACCAATTCTCGCGCTCCTTCTAACACTCGTTGAGCACCTACAGGAGCATTGGAACATAAGCCTCAACGAGCAAAGTGACAGTCTGCCTTTCGCATCTCCAGGCAGCGCAAGGGTCTTCCTTCGAAGAGGTGGGATCTTCCTGGGGACTATTCGGGAGGAGTTCGAGTTTAGCGAAGCATCAGTTTGGTTTTCCCTGTTTTCTTGCTGGTTCGATAGGCAGGGAATGAGACATGGAATGACCCTGACAAAAATAATCCCTTGTGGTGTCCTTTAAGGAAATCCCCTTCCGGTGCATTCCCAACACCCGGACTCGGTCATTCCCTACCTATCCCACCAGCAAGTTCTGGCCGCTCCAGGAAGGAGGACTGAGAAGCTAGTTATAACACGCCTTGCGGCGCCGTTCCCCGTTTCGGGAACACGGGGGGGGTGATTCATGTTGAGACAAACCCAACTGGTTCGCAACCCCACAATTAGATGGTTTGGGGGAGTGGTACACAGAACTGGCAAGGCAGCTCCAGCCAGTTTCTCCATGCATCCGGAAGCGTCAGACCAGCGTCGGAATGGGCAAGCCCTGCAACGTGAAAGGCCCCAGGGGGATCTACGGCCAGCTTATCAATCTTGCGATGCAGTTGGAGTAGATGTTACGAGTCCATACGGTTTCTTTAGCCTTACGCACGATGATTTGCAAGGCCACTGGGTTGCTTAATGTTACTCACTCCCGGAGTTCCTGGACTTTAAAGCTTCTTGGGCTTGGACCATTTTAGTGGTGAACAGACAGTTTGGTTACTTTTCTGGCCCATCCACTCAGGAACTGCGGTCAAGGGGACACATGTCGGATAAGTTTGCAAGGCCTCAAGGGCCTTGCCATGGAATGTAGTCCGTGCCCGGATTTGCTTCGAAATGGTTTTTGCCTCCTCGCTCCTCCTAAACAACCCGAATGGAAATGGCATAGTCATAGTGGCCATATAAACCATGAAAATTCATGCGGAACCACCTCAAGAGTGGTTGGACAAATTCATCCCCACCTAAATGATGTCCACCCGATTCAAATTCACACCCATGTTCTAGGCAAAAAATCGAATGGGCCCTTGTGAATGGACCTAGACATGTTAAACGGGGAAAGCTGAACCATGGCTTTGCTTCAAGGACTCCTTGTCCTTACCCTTCGATCCGGACCCCTAAGGTTCGATTGATCAAGCACCCCGGAGCCCAACTGGAAGCAACCGTCATGGGAGGGGTATGCTCCAAATGGAGGGCTCTTGGAGTGCTCCAGAAGCACTGTGGTACAGCCTGGCGTGCATTCCGCTCGCAGGCGTTTACAGGGGCCGATTTGTCGGATTGGTTCGTTCTGTGGCGCCTACTCACGGCAAAAGCAATTGACGCAAGGACAAGACTAAGGCAGAAGAAAGATTAGTCATGGATCAAAAACTCTCTAGATGTGCCGAACCAACTGCTTGTTTGAAGAACCTCACATGCACTGAAACTTGCATGTATAAAATTACCGAAGTATCCTATCGGAAGCAAACCCACATGCACTGACAAATGTCTGAAGCAATCTTTCGTGGGCCCAATCAGACGCGAACAGTCGAAAGGTGGGAACAACAAAGCCGTCGATCCCCAGGAACAAACCACAAGCAGAGATATATGGGTATGGGTCAAAACCCACCAGGGGACTGCAGGTTTTAGTCTTTGGTTCCATTTACCAGGGTGCCGTTTTGGGTACGAATGTTTGACAACCACAGCAATATGTGCACCAACTATTTAGCCACCGTGATCAAAGGGATAGCAACGGACCTTCCGGGGCCAGGTTCGTGTAACTGAGAAGCAAAGCCGTGACAAACCCGAGCCTTCAAGGCGCGTGCGGCAGCAAGTGGTGCGGCAAAGAAGGCTCGCTGGGAGCGGGTTCCACGGTGGATGATGCGCTGAATGGATGTGTGTCTTGTTTGAATGATGGTACCCCTTTTCGGATGGTGTTAAAGAGGCGATGAGGAAGCCACTTGATTTTTTGGGGAGGGGGATCCCTGACAAAGGACTTGACCGCGTACACAAGGGAAAGGATGAACACAGAGCAAAGACAAACCCAAATGCAGAAGCAAACAAGTTGGAACCTGTATTTTTTCAGGGTTTCGTGGTTGGATGTTGGTTCACTTGCCCTAACCGGCATCCGTACCCGCAGATTGCTCGCAACGATGCGGAAGGGTTGCTATGCTCGAGACATCTCGAGACCCTGATGTTTTCAATTGCACATGTGGGGGTTGATCAATATTCCTTGCCACAAAATGACCATGGCTAACTTTTGGAGCGTCATCTTTTTGGGTGGTTTTCCCAATGGTCACCCTGTAAAGGACCTTTGATCCATTGGGTTGAATTTATTGGGGTTCCACGTTGGGAGGGTATCGTAAAATGTCATGTATTCGGCTTCACCTAGACACCTTCACGGAGTGTTTGGTCAGTGATTGTTTTCAGTGGGGGCCCTCCAACCAACACACATGGAATGCACAGACCCCTTTTGGCAATGAGAGTTCTCTTGGAATGCAGAGTTTGCAGGCTTCTTGTTTTGCATACGAAACTTAACGTTTTGGCCACTCACTTCGGACATCCCTTCTTGTGCTTATTCTCAGAAACGCACTTAGGGTCACCAATCTTGTTGAGACGTGGGTTCTAACAAATGGCGTCTAGGATACGACACGCACATACATGATTGTCCTTTGGTGCAAGCGATTGGAACCTGTTTACAAAACCCGATTAGGTTCGAAACACCCAAGCAATTCCTCCTGTGCCTTGGCCAGATGCAGAACCTCGTCGCCTGAGTGGGTACCTGAGTGGACTATTGTGGGAGATGATGGTTCACTGGTGGGCGGGATGGTGTCAGCTCATCACTTCCTAAAACCTTGGACTTGATGCTTTCAATGGGAAGACCACTTTAGTGGAAAACAAACAGTTTACACTCTTTGGCCCCTCCACTCAGGAAGTAAGTTTTGCGTCGTTTCGTGTTTGGGGCTACAACGCCACGGCGTCTTTTGGACAGGCTCATATCAATCAAGTTTCTCCTGGTTGAAGGCGAAATTGGACTCGTAAGCAAGCTTTGCACTCTCGTGTCTTTTTCGTGGGGTGGGATTTCCTTTCGCAACAACTTCCTTCTGCATTCATAATATATTTATTCTGTTGGGACTGGGAGGATAATCGCGGCCACGAGTGCTAAATTGCTCAACATGTAATTTTATGGCGTCAGCAGGGGGATGCCTCGTGGGAAGTCGGCTAGCATAGCTGCGCGCTGAGGCGACAAGACGCAGTGAAGAACCGGGGCGGTGAAAATGGAAGCGAGCGAGGGGTGGGCTGGCGGGTCGCTGGAAGATCCCTTAGACCCGGCAGGCGCTCGGCCAGTTTTCCGGTTGCCAGTGGGGTCTAGTTTAAGTATCCTTCAATTTCTAGCCCTTTGGGCAACTGAGAATTTCTCCCAACAGCCACCCAAGACGGCCTTATTGGAGTTGCATTTAAAGCAAGGAGGAGGGATTAGAACACGGAAGGGGGGCTTGAACATAGCTTGGGCCATGTTGTTTTTCCCTTCCTTCTGAAGTTCCCCTGGTACTCTCATTTCATCTCATTTCCAGGGCATCCGCTGCGTCCAAACTTACGTCGGACTCTTCGGAGTCATGGCAAGTTCTAGCCAACTTAAGCCACACCTTTCATGTCGCAGAGCGCGCAACAAAACATGCCGTGGGGAAGTTTCCAGAGGGTCCTAGGGGGTCACCCACGAGGAATGTTTAAAGAGCAGTTCAATCAGAACCCCTTCAAAGAAGTCTCCTTTTGCTTCAGTTTTGTTTAAACGGGCAGTCAAAATATCCAGTCTCCAAACCATTGGGAGGGACAAGAAGGGGGTTATCACTAGATTTCAGCCACAAAAACCAGGTGAGGTCCTGTTGGCAAAACCAGGTGAGGCGGCCGAAACCCCGAAACCCCGAAACCCTTGGCCGTTTTGGCAACCCCTACTGGCCGTTTCGGCAGGTCCAGGTTCTACCCGGTTTCATGGTCCAAATCGAAGCCTTGGCTCAGGTTCTGCGTTTGCAGCTCTGAATCTCAGCGCCTGATGGGCGGCTGAGTCGCTGAGTGTCGTGGTTGCGTGTTTGTGGGTGTGTTGGGCTTGTTTCTTTGCTCGTTTGTTTGATTGTTTGTTTGATTCTTCGGTTGGTTGGTTGACTGATTGTTTGATCGTTTGCTGCTTTGCCTGTTTGCTTGTTTGTCCGTTTGGCGTGATTGCTTGCTTTGTGTATGTGCTTTATGTGTTCAGTTTTTCGTGCGGTTGCTTTGGCCCTTGTTTCAATCTTCCGCAGCTTTTGCCAGCATGCACGCGAGCCCAGAGATGGGCCGGAGCAATCAACGTCGGAGTTTGCGTTGTGGCACTTGAAGTCTCCATGGTTTCAGGGCACACAATATATGAGTCCTCCGGCAGCATCAACATGGATGAAAGCGGATGGCCAACATTGATGTTCAAGGCTCAAGGACCAGTTTTATCTGTTTGAACGTAGACCGGACTACCAGGTCCTGCACTGTTTGGCGTGGGCGCTCCATTTCCCGGCGGCACAGCCAGCACGTTCTTTTCGAGGATGTCGGCGCCAGACGCCAAGAAGACCAAGCCATCAGGCGAGCGACAGACCAGAAGCATCCAAATTACTAAGTGGCTAACGTTTCCCCCCAAAAGTGAGGAATCCCCACTGAAAGGGGACACCCCCCGATCAAAATCAACCAGGGGGTTATTATCCCGGGGTTAACATTAAGGGAGAGTCCCAATCATGCTGTGGATAGACCAAATCCATTTCGCAGCATTCAGAAACCCTGGTTTCTGGGAACTCCCCTGCAAATGCCAACAAACGTTCAACGGATTCAACATGTTTCAACCATGGTTTCAAAGTGGGAGGCGGGAATTCGCAACCATCCACAGATTGGTGCAATCCGCTTTTGGATTGCCCCTCCCTGGTCATGGCGAGCCCCAGTGTCTAAATTAGCTTCTTGCCCCAATTTTGCTTCGGTTTTCCTTTTGGTTTCCCTTCAAGCCCAAAAAGGATACCCTCCAGAAATGGGTTTTCCTGGTTTTTTGGTTTCCCTTCAAGCCCACAAGCAAAAAGGATTCCCTCCAGAAATGGGTTTTCCTTGTGGTTTCCCTTGAAAACCACACAGCCAAGAAGGGCACCCACTCCGAAACATGTTTTGCCTTTTCCACTGTTTGTGGGAAAAATCAGCTTTAATTCCCCCCTAGTGTAGAAGCCCTGTTCAAGGGAGGCGGTTAATTCAGCTCCGAAACGCGCGACGTCCAGCGCCTCGACTCGATGCCGCCAGGCGGCGGCGTGAAGGCGGCGGTGAAGACGCTGGCGGCCAACGCACAGCTCTCGGCGGAAGAGGCCGCGCCGGCCACCGGCCTCGGGGGAAGCCAGGTGAAAGCCGTTGGGAGAAGTGCGAGCCATTTTGCCGAAGAGCAGGTTGTTGGCCTGCGCTGGGGCATGCGTTTTTTGGGTTGTCTCTTCCCGCTTTACTGCCATTTGCTTAGATGTTCCCTTGTTGGTTTACAGTGTTGTCCAGAGGGCGAACAAGCAGATGGAAGAACGTGTGGCCAAAAAGACAGCGTGCAGGTCGCCTATAGATCCGAAAGATGTTGCCCGAATGTTGTCCAAAACGGGGACGCCATACACAACTCTCCAAAAAACGGCCTCTCCAGAAAAGGAGCCCCGAAACTCGAACCCTTTGCTCAATGGACATGGACTTCTGGGCCCCTAAAGGATGGTCGTCTGCAAGCCTCGAGCCTGTCAGCTTCTTTAGGGCTAATGTTGACCTACGATTAGTAAATAGACCATGAATAATGCTAACCGATTTCAAAAAAAAATAATAAATATACCATGAATAATGCTAACCGTTTTTTCCCAGGGGAAAAAATATGAAAAAAATGAAACATAATATAAAGTAATTCAAACAAATAACCTTCCCCCCACAAGAGTGAATGAATCCTGAGTTCCCAAGCTCACAAAAGAACATAGAATTCCCATTGGGATCCATGCAAAATGAAGATTTTTATTCAGGGTCAGTGCTCCCAACCCTCATCCCCCATGGAATTTGCATGGTTTCATAGTGGGATCATGCCATAATTTACCATGGGATTTGCATGCTTCTGGCATCTAATCTTTATTCAGGGTCAGTGCTCCCAACCCTCATCCCCCATGGAATTTGCATGGTTTCATAGTGAATTTATCCAGGGATCATGCCATGATTTACCATGGGATTTGCATGCTTCTGGCATCTAATCTTTATTCAGGGTCAGTGCTCCCAACCCTCATCCCCCATGGAATTTGCATGGTTTCATAGTGAATTTATCCAGGGATCATGCCAGGGAAACCTGATTTACCATGGGATTTGCATGCTTCTGGCATCTAACTTTATTCAGGGTCAGTGCTCCAAACCTCATCCCCCATGGAATTTGCATGGTTTCATAGTGAATTTATCCAGGGATCAGGGAAACCTGATTTACCATGCGATTTGCATGCTTCTGGCATCTAATCTTTATTCAGGGTCAGTGCTCCCAACCCTCATCCCCCATGGAATTTGCATGGTTTCATAGTGAATTTATCCAGGGATCATGCCAGGGAAACCTGATTTACCATGGGATTTGCATGCTTCTGGCATCCAATCTTTATTCAGGGTCAGTGCTCCCAACCCTCATCCCCCATGGAATTTGCATGGTTAGGGAAACCTGATTTACCATGGGATTTGCATGCTTCTGGCATCCAATCTTTATTCAGGGTCAGTGCTCCCAACCCTCATCCCCCATGGAATTTGCATGGTTTCATAGTGAATTTATCCAGGGATCATGCCAGGGAAACCTGATTTACCATGGGATTTGCATGCTTCTGGCATCTAATCTTTATTCAGGGTCAGTGCTCCCAACCCTCATCCCCCATGGAATTTGCATGGTTTCATAGTGAATTTATCCAGGGATCATGCCAGGGAAACCTGATTTACCATGGGATTTGCATGCTTCTGGCATCTAATCTTTATTCAGGGTCAGTGCTCCCAACCCTCATCCCCCATGGAATTTGCATGGTTTCATAGTGAATTTATCCAGGGATCATGCCATGATTTACCATGGGATTTGCATGCTTCTGGCATCTAATCTTTATTCAGGGTCAGTGCTCCCAACCCTCATCCCCCATGGAATTTGCATGGTTTCATAGTGAATTTATCCAGGGATCATGCCAGGGACACCTGATTTACCATGGGATTTGCATGCTTCTGGCATCTAATCTTTATTCAGGGTCAGTGCTCCCAACCCTCATCCCCCATGGAATTTGCATGGTTTCATAGTGAATTTATCCAGGGATCATGCCAGGGAAACCTGATTTGCCATAGGATTTGCATGCTTTTGGCACTCAATCAATCTTTATTCAAGGTCAATAATCACTCTCAATGCTCATCTCCCTCCCTCTCCCCCTCCCCCCATCCCCAAGAGCAGCAGTAGCAAATGACCACCACCACCACCACCATACCACCACCACCACCACTACCACCACCACAATCCCTTTCAGCCCTGGTCCTTCAATCTTGGGCACCTTATTCGCGAGGAATGCCTCTTTCTTCATCCAGTAGGCAAATGCCTTCATGGCAATGCACCTCAGGCATCCAGTCTGAAATCTGCATTTGCTGCATGGTGCTAATCTTGTCTCAGCCATCCTGATCTCCATGCTTGCCTCATGGCTCAAATCTGATGCCCTGAAGAACTTGCTGTTCTCATTCATTGCCAGCATTGCTACTAATGCTGAATGACACTTCATGTCCTTCAATTTCTTCAATTTCTCATTGGCTGCTGCATATGCATCATCCTGCTTCTTCTTCAGATTGTATGCTTTCTTCTCAATGTCCTGCATATGCTGATGTAGCTTGCTGGATTCTGTGCTCAATACCTTCTTCATCTTCTGCATTCTGATCTGCCATTCCTCCTTGATTGCCATTGGCCATCCCCTAGATGCTGGGCCTTCAACATGGGTGCATGCCTCAATCTCCATGTATGCAATGACAAAATATCCACAATCAGCTCCTTTCTGGCGAACATGGTTCCTGCATTCCAGTTTGATATTTGCTGCATTCTCTCCTTCAAACAGCTTCACAATCTCATGGGCATACTTCAGGCATTCAGGATGTCCACCTTCCAAGGTGTCATAGTAATGCCACTGATCCCCTTTCTTCACCAATAGGGTCCAATGCTTGGGCGCTCCATGGGCAGGGATTGGGATGCACAAAGTATCAACACCTGATGCACAGTCCAGGATTTGCCCCTTGACCAACTCATAGCCAGCCTCATCCATCTCAGTCATGTTCACAGTCAGCTTTCCCATCAATGCTGGATCCAAGCACTGCACAGACTCAGGAATGTTCAATTGCCACTGCATCCATGCCCATGCCAATACAATGTGCTGATCTTCCAGGTATGTGTCTGCATCTATCCCAAGCAAGGGGTATGTTGTATCAACAAATGGCTCTGGATGGGCAGCTATTGCTTGCAGCATGCTTTGCAATGATGCCCTTGTGATATACTGAAAGGTCCTGTATGCTCTGGGTTTCTTCCATGTTGCATCTTCCAGCATCAGGAACTCCATCTGTGTGCTAATGACACCCTTCTCTGTCATGATGCTTGCTGTGCCATCCTTGACATTGGACACACTCCCTGATCTTCCATACTTCAAGGGGCCTGCCTTTTCTGATACCACTCTCACACCCTTCCCAATCCAATCATGGAGCTCATCACCAATTGCATCATCACTTTTCTTTGCTGGGATGTCCTTCTTCATAGCCTTGAACTCCAATTTGCTTGACTTCTCAGCCTCCTTCTTCATCACTGCCTTCTTATCTGCCTTCTTCTTCACTGATGGCTTTGCTATCATGCTTGGCTTTGAGCTTGCTGATGGCTTGCTTGCAATGCTAAGCTTCTTCTTCTTCATTTTTGCTAGCATTGAGCTCTTCAGCAATACCTTGCCAATCCTCTTCTTATTTGTGCTCTTGGCCACAATCTGTTCCAGTGCCTCTTTTTTGCTCATGCTGTCTAATAGCTTTTTGCTCATATGCTTCCTGGCTGATATCCTGATCAAGGATCTGTGCACTGATTTGATCCTTGCTTTCTCATGGTCTTTCATGATGGTGGCCCATGTCGACTCAAGCATTCCTCTCCTGTAGAACTGCCTCCTCAACTTGGGGCTCATCCTGAGGAATAGGGAGTTCTGCATGGGCAGTATCATCTCTTCATTGAGCTCATGCACAATGTCCACTGCATCCTTCTCCTCATCTAGCTTCTCATCCTTCACAGGATCCTGTCCTTCCTTCTTCTTCTGGTGCTCATCTGTCTGATCATCTCCTTCTTGATCAGGTTCAGGACGGCAGTTGGACCATTCTATCAAGTCAGTGATGGCTGCTGCATCGTTGCTGATGGAAAAGTCAGGAGTCAATGGCCTCCCTGATTCATCCAACCATGAGTGCCTATGCTCCCACCAATCTGCTGGGATCCTGCTGGTGCCCATCTCACCTTTGATTGGGACCATCTTTCCTTCCTTGATCTGGTAGGCAATCAAACCATTCCTCTTGGCACCTGATACTACCCAGTTGGTCTTCTCATTGAGGACTGCCATATAATCCTGACTAGCTATTGAAGCCCTGATGATCTCTGGATATCCAATGCTGAAGCCCTTGTCTGATCCATGCTTCCTCTTGAATTGGACCCTCATCCTATCCAGCTCATGGGTGAAATATCTTTTCCATGCTCTGCTGCAATCAGTGTCTGTAACCTGAAGTTGTGCTGTCATGTGGCCCAAAATGTATGCAGGTGCCTGATTCAGGATGTGCTCTGCTTGCATTGTTGCATCTGCAAAATTTGCACTGAATGAGTCCTTGATGTTGATGCCACATACTTCCTTCTCTCCTTGCTCCATGGCAATCCACTTCATCAGAACTCCATCCACATTGCCACTGGGTTGGGACATGATGATGATCTTGCTAAACAACTCTGGCTCCTCATTGCGAAGATTGACAATTGATTTCATTGATCTGCACTGATGTCCCTTGCTGTGAATGATGGTGGTTCCCCCCACCTCAAACTCATCATCTTCTTTATACTTTCCATCTTTATCCAGATTGCTAAGGCGCTGATGTGGTCCTGCAAATACTAATAGCCCACATGCCACCTCACCTGTCAATTCTCCATCCACCAGCCCATAGATCTTTTGTCTGGCTTCATATGTGATTCTAAACTTCTCCTCATGAGGGTTGTGATGAGACAGCTTCATTCCTGATACCAACTTCTTATCATCTTTTCCCTCTCCCTCAGCTGATGTTATCACTTGCTCCTGTCTCATCTTCATCACCTGCT